GCGGTGAAGCGGCAGCCCCACATAGACCATCAGCTCATGTCATCATTACGTCACGTGAAAGTGGCTTGAAAATGGCTTTCAGAGGTGACTTGATGTTTTTGAAAACAGTGAGCGTGACTTTTTTTCCTAAACTGTAAATGACACAATGAAACTAAAGTGAAGCCCAGAAACCAAACTGGGATGAAATTCAACCTTGGCTTCAGCTGTGACTCATGGCCGGCTGTAACTGCTGTTCTGACTGTAGCCCCAAACCCAATAAAACACGCCCATCATGCAGTTGCTTCCTTGTTTCTCTGTATCCCTCTTTCTCCCTTTTTCTTTTTTTTTTCTCCAAAAAGGAGCCATTGACATTCGGTGTAAAATAGAGGCATGGTGGGGTGGGGGCTGAACAGAGGAACGGCAGGGGTGTAGGGTGTCTCGAGCCCAGTGTGAACAGCTGAGAGGTGTGATTTCACAGGCTGGCTCCCCCCTGTCAGGGCCCTGATTGGGTCGGACAGGAGGCGCAGGAGAGGCCCGGGCTTCTAAAGGACACCAACAGGTGGGAGGCCGCTGTGGAGGGGGGTGCTCCTGGCGGGATAGAAAAGGCCGATCTGCAAGGCCTGTTGTGGGCACAATCCACTGGCCAGATACGGAGGAGGATGGTTGATCGCAGGAGAGCTGAGGTGAAGAGAGGAGAGGAGCGGGGTGGATCTCAGGAAGTGGAGGGATAGTTTGAGATGAGTTTGGGCTTTGATGGGAGGGAAGGGCAGCTCCAGGGACAAGGAGTAAGGTTGGTCTGTTTGTTTTTGTTTCGTGAGAACAGAAAGTCATTTTGGTCATAGTTTTTTTTTTTTTTCATTTAAACTTTTTACAACAAACTGTTGTATAGTGTGTTTTTTGTGGATAAAGTCTCTGTGACAAGGTTTTCTGTAGATTCAGCTGTAGCAGGATTTAAGTCCCTGTGCTTCCTTTAAATTCAGCTTCCTTGATTTGCAGCACTGTGTGAGCAAAATCAGGTGTCAAACTAGTTGTTAGATGTTTTTTCTCTGAGTTTTACGACAGCACAACACGCTCTGGAAGAGTCCGACACCTCTGTCAGGTGAGGGGAAGCTGAGGTGTGATACAGGAAAGAATCAGGGAATTTTGGGGGGCGGGGGGGAAGGGGCATCCTAATGGCCATTTGGTTTGACACAACAGCAGTCAGATTTATCAAGGGAGTCACCACTAGATAGACAGTAAATGTGTAGGAGAGGCTGCCTGAACCCACTGTGGCCTCCAGCTCTGCTCCAGCTACTCGCCACGAGAAAACCAAGGAGAGGAGACTCAACAGAGATCAAGGAAGGTGAGTAAAACATAAAGATTCTACTCAAGCTCAGTTTTATTTTAAACATGTGCCGTTTTGACATTAATGTTTATCAATTGTGACCTTAAAACAGTTTTGCAAAGGACATTTTTACACAGTTGATGTGATCGACATGACTTGGCATGGCATGATGTTTAGGGAATAGCACAGATTGTGACCTTTGTCTGCTGGAAGTTAGTATTCGCCTCGCCCTCCAGAGTTATTTAAACACAGTTCATCATCATCACATTGGCACTTCCCATCAGAGAGCTGGTATTTGCCGGTCTTACTCCTAAATGTTCTAATGCTTGATGTCAGGGTCAAGCAATGCTGTTAATATTTTTCTTTTAGGATTGGAAACCCGGTAATTTTTGCTCCTACAAGTACGCAACTGTAGGAAAATAAAACACACTCTCAACAAAAATGAAACTTTAGAAATTTTCCCCATCATTTCTTCCATCAAACAAAACTCCTATACTTTCTAAATTTCTTGTGAGTCTGTGGCGCAGATGATCGAAGCCGCCATCATGTGTTCCCCTCTTTCTGTCACAGTTAACCATTGTTAAGCCGGTTGTTCCCGCTACTCTGCATCTGTGACTATGAAAGGGTGCTTTGTGTCCGAGGAGCGGTGAATCCAGTTGTTGCCCCTTGTGAGGACATGCTTCCTTATATCCCCATATTAATACACCACTTATGGAATGTAAGGAAGTGTGTGGTTTCAAGGGGTCATGAACACCAACCACAGTGGGAAGAAGAGACATTTCTGGTTTTAGTTTTTATGTAACTTTTTTTTTTTCAAGTGAATGACAAGTTATGAAAGATGGATTTAGTGCAATTGTCTGAGCGCGCCTTTGTCTGTTTTATGAGTTGGGAGGGGGGATGTCAGTGTGTGTGTGTGTGTGTGTGTGTGTGTGTGTGTGTGTGTGTGTGTGTGTGTGCGTGTGTGTGTGTGTGTGTGTGTGTGTGTGTGTGTGTGTTTCTGGCAAGGCAACAGGTGAAAGGCCTGTTCCCTCTCCTTCAGCTCAGGCACGTGTACAGTTAGCATTACTCCCAGGGCCGCTGATCGGGTCTCAGGGACTTCTTGAAAAATTCCTGCCCTGCCCCAACTGCTGACAGTCAAGGAGGATTGACAGACCACAGCTGTCACCCATTATAGCAACCACAGGACTCTCAAAAAAGGCAGCGGGGAGGGAGGGCGGAGATGTGGTGCTGTCACTGAGGGTGAAGGTTCGCTCCTGTAGGCTGGGTTTGGAAGGAAATAGGGCGATGTCACTGGCTGTCAGGCTTCCCAAACTCCTAAATAGGAACTTTCTGCTTGGTAACATGGAGACACTCGTTTCTATGTTGTAACTGTGCCGGTTATATCAATACTGATGTCCCTTCCCTCTCTCTGTGTTCCATCAGGTAAGGCTGAAGAGGACACGTCGCCCTGACTGCCTGCAGATGACGCCCACCTTCTATTCCTTCTCTTTTCTCCTCTCTCATTTCCCTCTTTTTCTGTGCCCTCTACCCTCGTACCCTTCCCTCTGCCCCCCCCTCCTCGCTGCATGCGTCCTCCTGCTCTCTCTTTGCTCTGCCTCTTGCAGCTGAAGCAACACACCTTGCTGTGGCTGGTCAAACGGAACCAAGTCAGGTGTTTCTGTGAGGTTTGGTCCCCTTCAACCAGCTACTGCGTCGTGAATTCAGTCAGCAGACACCAGCGTGGAATCAAAGGCACAGAGGGGTTGGGGTGTAATGCTGCACACTCTGGAGGTGGTAGTCGACAGTTGATTGTGTCTTTTCTTTGGCGGCTTGGTCTCGGTTGTCTCCTGTGTGGCACTGTGTGTTTGAAAAAGCAAATAAAAGATTATTGACAACAGACAGTGGTGAATTTAAATGTCTGAGGATTGTGTCAAATTTCAAATCATTTGCAAATTGCAATAATTGTCAAGAACATATTCAGAGAGTCAAATGTCCTTACAAGCAAACTGGACAAGTGATTTTCATCGGAGAATGATACAAAATATGTAACAGGCCTAATTGATATACATTTATGATTCTGGTAATAAAAAGGGGAAAAATACACATAACCTGCTTCAGCAGAAAACAGCTCACTGTAGCTAAAGTCTTTTTCCTTGCATGTTTGATGGATGATTTGTTTAATTGTTTTAAATTTTAATTGTTCAAAGAAGAGATGTGTGCAGTTTTGGACATGCACAGATTATTAGAGATTTATTTAAAACTAACTTAGTGTAAAACAGCTTTTGTCTAATCTAATTATACTATATATTCAAAAAGGGGGGAAACATTTAGTTGTAAACGTTTAGTCTGATAAAAGCTGCATTGGTAGATATTTTTGCAGTATAATAAATAAGTAAGGTCACAACTACTGACAACAAGCAACAAGCAGGCATAAAAAGTATGATTTGCTTGTGATGTCATCAATGTCATGTGTGAATAGATTAAACTGAATATCTTGATTCCCTTAAAAATAAATGACTAGGTTAGTTGTTTGTTTATTAATTTTACATTTGTCATATCAGTCCGGAGTCTGACAGTGTACATCGATACCAGTCCAGAGAATTCAGAACCATGGACAGCACCCATGATTCCCACTATAACAATAATTACATTCAGTGATCTTTTGTGATCTTGCCAGTAACGCACCACAGGAAGACTCCCAACTCCCAAATCCCAACTTTTATTCCCATATTACACACCCATTTTCATCACCCAACCGTGTGTCCTTGAAAAATGCAGTGAACCTCTGCACGCTCACTCACACATTATAAAGTGAGTTGCTAACAGAAAAATCCTTTAAATAGGTGATGCTTCCATTGTTACTGGAGGATATAATAAACTGCATGATGTGTTATTAGAGTTTCAAAATTGTGATCATGAAAAAAGAAATATTGAAAGCGTATTTTGTATGGATCCATTTTCTCTTAGATGTATGACATTGCAAAAAAAGATTGACGTTGACAATTTTAAGTATCTAGGCTGAAGGGGTGGTTGTACAGTAATTACAAAACTTGCAGTGCATAAGGATTCAACCATCAGGACCAAAGGGTCCCTCTTAGAATCAGATAAAGATTTAAGATTTAACTTTATGATCATTTTGCAGGATGTAGTTTCTGCTGCTGTTGAACTGTATTACATTATACATAGAGATGTTCCCCTCTCATTGATATAAATTGGGTGGACATATAATAGAAATACCCATCCATGTGACACAATACAATTTAACAGCACCACAAACCACAACCTCGAAAATGATAATACACTTGAATCAACACCTATTTAAAACAGTTTCAACACATGGTGAACATTATAATCTTCATGAATGTAGGAACTATTGCAGCACTATTGTATTAGACTGCATTAGTTTTAGCTGGGTTTACCTGATAAACTGCTGACTAGGCACTGTAGATGAGTTAGTAAAATATGTAATAAATGTGAGTAAAACTGTAAGAAAGTGTCTGTCCATGGTGGGTAGAGAGCTGTTGGGGAATGGTTTATTTTTATTTTTTATTTTTTATAAGCAACAGAAGCATTAATGATGAGCAATCAATTGAAAGCTAGGCTACTTACAGTATATACTTGGAGCAAATAACTAAACACCACTGGAGTAGAGGCTATGGCAGCACTACGTTTCTCCACGAGGGGGCGATATAATTTGTTGCGGCTGTAGTTCCTGCAGGAGCAGAGGAAGCGAAGCGGCGTCGTAAACATGGCTGACAGTGGAGTGACAGGTGAGTTTGGGAACGAGTAACATCTGGACTTTATATCTGTTTCCAGATATTTTGGTTATTTTACTGTGGGCGCGGCAACAGAATGTCTTGCACTTATAATTCATGTTTTGTGGTCTTTGGTTTTGGCTCCTAGCAAAGCAGACCTTCCAAATGCTAGCAGTGCTAACGTTAGCGTTGCACGCTAAACAGTGCAGTTTAACGTCAGACATCCTAATGTTATTGCATCATCTTTTCGAATAGTTTTTAAATGAACAAAATAATTATAAGAAAGCCGGTTTAAGTTGTAACTCTGCTGTGAAGATGATGGTAGCAAACCAGTTTGGTGACTGGTGTCGTTAGCCCGATGTAAACCCAGTCAGCTCAGTGACATACAGGCAGCTAACAGCGTCACTATATCTGAGGGAGCCAAAGCTAAGTACAGGCTGGTCCTGTCATCAGTTCCTGTTACCAACAAAGTGTGCATTAAACTGATGTAACCATATGATCACCTGTTGGTTGTTTTACAGATGGACCCGAAAAGAAGGGTGAAATTGAACGAGCAAAGGTTAGTGTTGGTCTTTTCTTGGATTTTGTCATACCTTCATATTAGCTTACATATATGACCTAATTGTACCGTTTTCTTTGACTCTGTCACTCGACAGGTTGAAGGCAAAGAAATGACCAAGGAGGAGAAGCAACGGCTGAGGAAAGAGAAGAAACAGCATAAGAAAAACAAAGAGAAAAAAGATGACAAGGCTTCACAGGAAAGTGAGAAAGAGAAGAAGTCTCTCAGTTCAGCTGCTCCAGCATCCCAGCCTCCAACACAGAAAGGTGCATATGATATGGGCAGGATACAGCACCGTTTGGACACTTATTAGAGCTGTAGGAGATGCACTGCATTGAAATTTGTCATATAAGGCACATTCATTTTCTACTTGTTGATTAATAAATAACGTTGATCACTTTTACGATTTTAGTAAAGGAAATTTTCTTCCTGTTGGTGATCCATATTGCCATTAATCTTAACACTGACACCTTTGTCTGTCTTTCTGTGTCTCCTCCAGCTCCTTCAGCAGTGCCTGCTTCCGCACCAGTCCCCGTACCTGCCTCAGAATCTCCTGCCCCGGCAGACAAGCCCGCTAAGAGTAAAGCAGAGCTAAAAGCTGAGAGGCGAGCTCGACAAGAGGCTGAGAGGGCGTCTAAACAGGGCAAGAAGGGAGAGGTGGGTCAGCAGGCTACCACGGCCAAAGCCAAAGCACCACCCAATGAGCTGCAGCCAGGTACTGTATCAGCTAGGAGGTCAGCACCAGCACTGACAATTCAGACAAGCTGAAAGTACATGTTATATACTGAGGAGAAAGTCTAACTCTTTATTTATTTTCAGTGGTAAAGAGGCTCCCAGAGCACATCCAAGTGGACAACCCAGATGTTTTAAAGAAATTGGCCAAGAAGTTGGAAAGACAACAGGTTAGCCACTTTTTGTGTTATCTTTAATCATGGAAGAATGCTTTGTCTGAGTCAGGACAGCTTGCCTTGACATGATAGCCACACTTTTTGAACAGCCCTGTGTGTTTGTGAATTTTTGTCTTGTGCACATTAAATTTAAATTCACTATTAACAACTTGAAACTATAAAATACAAATAAGAAATAGATATAAATGAACTGCATGTTTGTGACTCTTTGTCTTACTGGAAATGACTAAAGCTAAGTAGGAACTGCTTGGATGTTGGTTGTTGTAATCAGGCAGGTAGAAAATGATATATCACATAATGTGTAATTTGTAGTAAGGCAAGCACTCGGAGGAAAGAAAGATGTCAGAGCAAATGCTAAAGAAGGTCTTTGTGTACTCTCTTACGCTCTTACGCTCTTACACTGTCACTTACACTGTGATGTGTAAATCTCTGCCTAAAAGGCGTAAGACATAATTACAATATGATGATGATCAGGAAGCTCTCTGCCATTTCCACTTACACTCGGTCATTTCCTGCCAAATGAAAGTCGCAATCATTTCTGAGTTAACTTAAACGAATAACTTATCATTATTGTCTAATGTTAAAGTATTTACAACAAAGACAGGTCTCAACATGTAACCAACACCTCTAAAACAGTTGTGGCAGTATATTAATCATGTTTTGTCATTCACTGCAAGCTCACATAACCATCATAACTGCATGTGATTGTGCGTAACATTTCTTTCAGACACCAGGGTACAATGCTGCTACAAAGGTCAAGGTCTGACTTTCTTGAATGTGTGCCATTGACATTCGTCTCATTGTGTTTTGTTTGCTACCCTGTAACTGTCGTTGTTTTCCAACGCCGCTCATGAATTGAAAAGTTAAGGATGCAGACTTGCTGTTTGGTCCGTTTGGACGGAGGTGGTATTTCTGTGTGATGTGTTTGTTTGGGAAGTTGTTGAGAACTTGTTTTATTGTTTCTTATTTGTGCTCTGTGCTCACTTACAACACTCGGCTGTTTGCTGTGCAGGTCTTTGGTTGTAATCCATACTGCTTTTCTGTTTGTGTTTGGAGAGTATTTGCAACAAAATCATACATAATGGAAGTTAAACATGAACAGGTCTCTGTCAATATAATTTGATTGTAGCCTTTCAAATTGATCCCCAGTAGTAAATGTAGTTTCTCTCTGTGGTCCAGAGACTTACCCGTTTATTGAATTATGCCGAGGCTGTGCTGTGACTGTGTGTTAACATCACTATCTCAATTTGTAACCCCTGAACTGCTGGAAATTGATGGCTCTCAATTGTAATGTGCTTTATTTCAGATCCCACTCCGGTCAGACTACGGCTACAAAGTCAGTCTGTTTTCTCACCTTCACCAGTACAGCCGCAAAGCCCCTCTAACACAGCAACTCAGGTAAGCTGACTATATGCAGGAGCATTGTCTGGGGGGAAAGGTTTGCTGAACGTAGCGCAGTTAAGGTGTATTAGATAATACCCTCATCCTTAAACTCGCTACTGACTCTTTGTTTTTCTGCTGCAGCATTCCCTCCACGGTCATTCACCCTGCTATTGTTCGACTGGGTCTCCAGTATTCACAGGGCATTGTGGCAGGATCCAACGCTCGCTCTGTAGCCCTGCTGCATGCCTTCAAACAGGTACAGCCCCAAAGAACGTAGACCATTCATTCTGAGTGCTTTACAGTCTCATCTCAGCAGCAACAAACACATTCATCTGTATCACTGTATTGTATTTTTTTGTGTTTGGCTCTGCTTCTAATCATGTACAATGAAAGTGCAAGATGTCAAAAGATATTGGAGACACTGTCAGTTTTTCAGTTTTCAGTTCCTGTTCAGCTTTATTTTATTTTAGAAATAAATGAAGTGTGCTTTTAACAGCGAGCATAAAATAATTACAAACGTCTGTACTAATACAAGGGTGCATCCAACATGTACTAGTGATGTGCATGTCAAATACCTTGAATAATATGAATAACTTTCACATGTACTGTTTTTATCCTCAGGTAATAAGGGACTATACTACACCTCCAAATGAGGAGCTATCTAGAGACTTGGTCAACAAGCTGAAACCTTATATCAGGTACAAACGTGAAGTTACTGCTTAACATGGAGGTATTTCTTATCTTCTTTCTGTTTTGACAACTCATACCTTATATCAAGTGAAACAAACTCACCGATTATAACTCATGTCCCTGCATGTCCAACTTTTTTTTTTCTTATTTTTCTTGCAGTTTTTTAAATCAATGTCGCCCTCTGTCAGCCAGCATGGGTAACGCAATCAAATACATCAAGAAGGAGATCTCCAATATTCCTAGTCAATGCAAAGAAGAAGAGGTTAATGTCACATTTGTTTTTTCTCATAATTTAGCCTGAAAACACGATGCAGCTCACATTGACAGAGTAAACTACACGTTACACGTTTTCAGTTTTTGTCCTCATGTTCTCTCTCTCTCTCTCTCTCTCTCTCTCTCTCTCTCTCTCTCTCTCTCTCTCTCTCTCTCTCTCTGTGTAGGCAAAGACCAAATTGCTTAACTGTATCGAGTGCTACATTAATGAGAAGATCGTTCTTGCTGCTAAAGCTATTGCCAAGTACTCCATAGAGAAGATCAGTGATGGAGACGTCATCCTAGTTTATGGATGGTAAGCCTTTTTATAGCTGACATGGGAAGGGTAAAAAAAAACGTTTTGTTTTATTTTCATAACTGTGCGTGTTCTTAGTTTCATTAAACCTAGTTTCGTTAAACCTCTGGTTGCTCGTTACTTAGTATTGCTTAATTGTTTGTCATGATAAAGAAATGCAACATTTATGTATCCAGAGACAAATCTTTTTTTAAACGACTTGTGATGCTTTCTCTTCCCTGTTTTAATCCGTCTTCAACTCCCTCCTTCCTTCCACATTCTCATCCAACTTTACCACATCTCATTTTCATCTCTGCGCTCACCTCCCTCTGGTCAGCTCGTCACTGGTGAACCACATCCTGTGCGAGGCCTTCGAGAAAGGCAGGAAGTTCCGCGTGATCGTGGTGGACAGCAGGCCTCGGCTGGAGGGCAGGGAGGCCCTGAGGCGCCTGGTCCAGAGAGGTATCAGCTGCACCTACGTCCTTATCTCGGCTGTCTCTTACATCCTTCCAGAGGTAATCATGACACCGTAGCACTCTGAGCAAGTCACTGATATTGATTTATTAAAGCAGTTCATCGCCCATGGAGTGGCCAAAGCTTTTTTGCTTAAGCACATTGAGCTTCTTCATTCTGCCGTAGGTATCGAAGGTGTTCCTTGGCGCTCACGCTCTGCTGGCCAACGGTTACGTCATGTCTCGGGTGGGGACATCACAGATAGCTCTGGTGGCCAAAGCCTTTAACGTGCCTGTGCTGGTGTGTTGTGAGACCTACAAGTTTTGTGAGAGGGTGCAGACAGATTCTTTCGTGTCCAATGAACTCGGTATGGAAACCATTCAGTGGCGTATTACATTTGTTAAACTGTTACACAAAAACTGCCTGTTTCTTGGAAATGATTAGATTTTTCATCACTTTAGTTCAAATGCTGCTTTTGTAACGTCTGTATTCCTTTAAATTCCAACCAGACATTAGATGGGGCTGTCAGACTCATCACTTTATCATCATCTGTCCTTTCTAGATGACCCTGATGACCTCATTGTGACCCGTAAAGGAACGACTCACCTGGAGGACTGGCAGCAAGTGGACTCTCTCGGCCTGCTTAACCTGGTGTATGACGTGACGCCGCCTGACTTCGTGGACCTGGTCATCACCGATCTGGGAATGATCCCGTGCACCTCGGTCCCCGTGGTGCTGCGAGTCAAAAACGTGGACCAGTGAACGATCTCCATCTCACGTTAGTCTTAGCCAAGAGGCTGTTTCTCTGCGGTTTGATGGGGGAGGGGTTTGTGTGCATGGATGCTTGCACACAACACAAAATATCGTGCTTTTAGCATGCAATAAATATATATCTGAAATGGCATAAGCTTTTTAAACAGAGTCCATGTGTGTCTTTGTGGTAGCATGAGATTTTTTCTCAGGCTGATGGGACAAGAAGGCTAGTTGTCTTTTAACATTGGGGAAAAGGCAAGATGTTATATGAGATCCATGCTATGAACTGTTTTTTTTTACAACAGAACATTTAATTGCCAGTATTTAGAGCAGAACAAATTCCCTCATGGTTCACAACACGTTCTGGTTGTCAACCACAGCATGCAATTTTAAACTAGTCATAAATGGTTCTCTAATTACAGTTGGATCGGCAGTATCTCTGAGGAGCTTTATGGCTGCAATAAGTTCTGCAGACTAGTTTTTAATGACTTGATCAACTGAACAGGATAAGAGAGAGTAAGACGAACCAGGTTTGGCAAAGGAACTCGGATCGTTTATTGTTCTGTCCTCAGGGGACAACACAATCGTGCTTCAACTTTAATATTGGCACAAATTTTAGTCCAACTCAAGGGAAAGTGAAAGATTGAAAAAGCAACATTTCCTGCACACCGCTTGTTTCTTTACAGGATCATTTTAGTTATTGCAGTGTTCAACTTTCATTTTATAAACACACTGTATGGACATTCAGACATTTAAGACTTACTGAAGTTGTGACCTGGCCTTGTATTTATTAACCATATATATTCTCCTTCATTGGTGACAAAGCAGGTGTTTCCCAGTTAGCTGAACTTAAATTTCCAGTTTATAAAAACTTAAATATAGAATTGCTTTATACTATATATGCATAAGACTATAGTGGTAGCTTAAGAGAAGAAGCAGATGTACTGTTTTAAAATCTTTAATGGAACCCTGAATCTTATTGGGAAGAAGCATTGTAAGTACTCACCCATCAACGTCAAGACATTACTACATGTGACTTATGAACAAATAATTCAATGACAAGGACAAACATTTTATGAGATACCAGAGTTTAACTCAACAATAAGTACACAACATTGAAACATGTCAGATGTGGTCACAGCAAGTGACAGCTAAATAACACTAGGAGATTAACTTAATGCCTCACTTTGTAATACATAAAAACTAAGCTTGATATTTCAATGGTTTACATGATTCATGTTGTGGACCTGGCTTGTTTTTTTTTTTTCTCTGAGTAAAGTATGTGTTCAACATGCAGTAAATAGTCATTCTACAACTCCCCTCATATATGCAGTAGGATATGTAGTACCATTGTGTAAACTCAGTCAGTAAATGTTTGGCACAATTAACAGCAAGCAAAGGTTCAGGATTTTAACACAGCCTCTTCATTAATAACCCGTGTCAGTCAGCTGTAAATAGTGGTAATTTTTGACAAAAATTTAGAAAAAGTAATTAAAACTTGGGGAAAATCCTTTCTCTAAAATTGCACAAATGATTCAGTAATAAAATAGTCAAATGTCAGACTTAGAAATTCCCCTAAGTAAAACAGCTGCCCCAGAAAGGTGTAAAATTAAATAAATTCTAGTCTAAAAGCAGCCTGGGGTCGCCTCAGACTTTGTGTCAGCATATTTCCCTTTATGAATTGTCAGCTTCAGCTCAGTAGATCATTGCAGGTAAAGATAAAAACCAGACCACTGCAGTTCAGCCTCAGAGGGATTTGGCCTTACGTCTCTGGGTGACCCACAGTAGGAGGGAGATCACGACTGTAGATGCTCCGAGAGGCCCAAACACCTGAAGAGCTGGGAACTTCCCCTATTGACAATGTTACCAAACGCATAACTTAAAATAATCAAGAGATTCAAGTGCACCAGTGTTCAACTTGGATATAAAGTGGATAATAACATGAATGATTCAGATAAAGCTGCTTGCAGAACTGACCTCCCGAAGACACTTGTATCCATGGTAGTTGTCAGCACAGCTGCACTCAAAGCTGCCGGGACCATAGGGGGCGCAGAGGGAGTTCTCCGGGCAGTTCATGGCTGAGGATTGTCAGTTATGAGATGAACAGATGTCCCGTATTACAAGAACGCTACTGCAGTGTGAGATTTTTTTTTTTTGTCACAATGGAAGATTATCAGATGGGAACTTACACAGCTGTCCGGTCTGGTTGCACACATTTTTCTGTCCTTCACAAATACGATTTCCATCTTTGACCTCCACCTTTGACCAAGACGTGTTGCCTCCTGGACAAACTATGTCTTCTGGCAAAATCCTAAAGAGACACGCAATTTGAGCTATAAAGGAATAGAACTAACTTTATACTCATCAGCACTTTATACAAACTTTATTCTCATGATCAGCTGTCATACTTCACTTTTTTCAACTATATACTTACATGTAATTTAACTCAACAAATCCTTGAAATGCTGTGTCACTGATGTTGACAAAGGGATTATGCGAGAGGTCTCTGGAAAAAAAAATTGATAAAGTAAAATACTTTTGAAGGCAATTACAAATGGTTCCATATGGACAAATTAAAAAATCAATAAGACTTTGTGGGGGATAAATTTATATTAGCTCTAATGATATCATTCTCTTCAAAGTGAAGTTTTTGCCAATAGAAAAGATGAAAGTTTTTATTTGCTGCAGAAATTGAAACTTTCCCAAACTGCTGCTGCCTAAGAATGTTCTTAACAACACTAAGATCATTCTTAGTCCAACATGTGGGACGGACTGTACCTATTCCTGGTGCAGAAGTGCAGAGGTCTACAACAGTTTTATCATATGGTACACGCCCATTTGATCATGCAGAATCAACATGCACAGTAGTGATGAGCACAGTTCTGCTGCTTTTTTGCCTTAAAAATACCCTCAGTCACTGAGGAAGAATCCAGGCTGGGTGCTCATTATTTTGTGTGCCCACTATGCTTTATGATGTTTAAATTGGTATGAAATTTTATTAACTGTACATACATCATTAACGCTGTTGATGCCTCATGAAGATCCTCAAGGTGAGTTAGTGAACAGTTGGATAGATCCAACCTAATACAAACAAAAAAAAAACATTGTGAAAATCTTACTGAAGTTGCAAAAGCCTGTGCTGTAATTGGTGTCAGACAGGGACAATGACTACAAAGTTGCACTGGCAACATAGAATACACTGTATTCTGTAGTCTTAATACACAAGTTGATTACAAAGCAGAAAAAAGTTTTTCTTAACCCAAAAAAACCATGTCTTACTTTCATTGACCCGGACCCCACAAATCCTCTTATTTTATAAATGAGGTTCTAATGAAGACCGACCAAACCACATGCATACTCTCGAATGGTAATAACAATATAATGGTGGTATAGCAAAATAAAAGGGATTGCAAAAGTTGCCAAATAAGGTTGCACTTTTGCATTACTCTTTTGTGTTTTGTGACAAAGACAAACAAATACAAGCACGGACACCAAGAAATAGTTAAGGATATAAATACAAAAAAAATAAAATAAATAAATAACTACTTAAAATCAAGAAAAAATACAAAAATAATCTATTTCCCAATTACTTGTATTTTCGTCGTTTTTAAAATTCATATGATTATTTACTAAAGGAGTTTTTTATCAAAACGCAACTGGACTTTAAAGTCCAGTTGCCTTTAGGATACCATGACCTGGACAAATGAGAATATACACAGGATGATTATTTACCTTTCTGTAACTTATTTATTCATCTATATATGTATTTATTATTGCTCTGTACAGTGTTTGTTAACTTTACTACATCTCGTTATCCGCAGGCCACTTATAGCTTATAACTTATAACTTGTGATTCCGATATACACCCTGAAGGCAACATTGAAGTCCTACCCGATGATGTGTTCAGGGTCAGTTGTGTTGTCATTTCTGAAGCAGCAGCGCCCGTCTATCCGTCCAGCGGATACTGAGCAAAATTCGGCCACAGTGGTGCCATTTATGACAGCCCCGCTGCAGAGCTTACATACCTGTGATTACGAATAATTACGAAGATAAATAAGGTTGTAAACAACAACATTTCCAGTCATCTAGCGCTTATATGACAACTACGGCTACTTTACATTCACCAAAACATTGTGTTTATTAGCGATATGTCCGTATACTGCGTCATTTATTTATGCTCGTTAAGACTACAGCTGTTACACTGACAAATCCCAGTCTTACCTGCAGCTCAGTCAGGTGATAACTCGCGTTAAAACATAAATTAAAGATCAAAATAAGAACCACAGGTTCCAGCTGGCTGTGTCCAGCTTTCATTTTCATCGACTGAAGTCATATGATCGTACTGTAGTGGACATGTGACAGGAAGCTGGTCCAACACTTCATCCAGAAGTCTAATTTAATTTTGCGCTGCAATTACGCATACAACAAATTTGGGAAGATTTAATGTAATATTATCTGTCCATCGTGCATAGAATAATTGAGTAAGGAGTGAACACATAAAGCAAGCATCATTGTTCTTTATTTGTGCATAAAATTTGATAAAATGTTGAAATACTTAATTCTAAATATAAAAAAAACACCTTTTGTTTAAATTCAATGTTGTAATGCAAATAGGTCAAATTTCATTATGTAAAAGTATTCTGACTTTTTTTTTCCTCATTCAAAATTATTAAGTGAAATAAATACCACGGCTGTAACATCAACAGTTCTATTTAATTTGATTTCTGAATTTTTTGACGAAAACTAGACGCATTTTTTCTGACTAATGAATTTTGACTGCGCTTTCACTGTCACTTTGGGTTGCACCAAATAAAGTGGGGACCTCGATTTAGAAGATTTTTATAATATTCAAAATAAATGAGAAGTCATGTTTGTGGCATATAACTAAAATTACTTATCTCTTTTTTATCTATAGTGTAATACAAGTGACAGAAATAATGTCACTGTTCTCTTATTTTTTTTCACCCGTAATGACTGGGACATCCCCGGCTGAAGATAAAATGGTTTGGCCCCGAAGGATTGTTGCAATGCCTCTTGATGGGCCACTAGATACACATAACACAGAATGGCTTGACGCTAATGGTACATCTACGTTTTCTGCGATTTCTGTCACATTTTATCCATGTATATACTCCTTCGCCGAGCACACTTTTCTTCAGCAAATGTAGGAGATAGGAAAAAACAAGCAAAAACCACAACAAGTGCAACTGTCCCCTCTCATATTTCGAAAGGTTTACCAACGGCTCTGCGACGGTGTGGGCTTTGCAGGAACCAACTGCACCTTTGATCCTGAAACTTCATCCGGTTACGCTAATGAACTGATTTACCTGTGAATTCTTGCAGTGAGTGGTTTTAAGTTATCACGAATTACTTAAAAGTGCGTGGAGAAAGATAGTTCAACGCCAACATTGAAGGTGTAATTACTTAACACTTGCAACATGGCTGCTGCGGGGACGGCAGTGAGAAAAGTTTAACACTGACGTGGGAGAAGTTTTATGTGGATGCTAGCTGGTACATGAGTTGTTGTCCAGATAATAAACTCGTCAGCAGTCTGCTCCAGCCTGGCACCGCTTTCCCCGGACTTACAAACCAGTGGATGAACCGTGTGAGAGCCTCCTCCTCCTCTGTAGTCACCGCCGACAGTCACTGCAGTGGACTTTGTGGGGAAACTGTGGTGTCTTTTTCTCCATCGTAGGCTGTGGTGGTGGCGTTAAAGGACTTGTCGTCTGGCAGCGGCAGACTGTGTTTCGTGTTAAAATGCATTTTTCCATACCCGAAACGGAGGTTCGTTCGGGAGAAAATGGATCAACCTATGTGGTGAGCATGATAATTTGTGTTTTTGTTTTACCCGCTTTCACTTAGCCTGTGTTAAACGCTGGTTTCAGCTGGCCACAGGTCGGGCTAATGTCAATGCAGCATGAGTTTTTGTGTTTACTGTTATAAATGATCTGATGACATGAGCAGTGATGTGTCAGCACAAGACAAACAACTGCCTAATGCAATAAATAAATCAGCTGTAGCCTCTGTTAGACCACAAAGTGCTCATTTGTGTCACATATCCAATTCATGTGTTTCCTTGGGATTACAGTCTAGATAAGTGAGTAAACTTGATTTGGAAAATTAAAACGTGAGCGAGTTAAGTAAAAGTGTTGACCTCCAGTGTATTCTGCTGGTGTATTCTGACAAGCTAGAGACTATATAATTCTGTGATGCAACTGAAAGCATCAACAAGAAAGAAATCCCCGCCCTTCACCATGATTTAACATTTTTTTTTGACATTGAACTTCGTCTAACATGGTAGTTGTGGTACTGTGACCACAAAATGCTGCACTGCTCAGATATGTCTGAAGTTGGCACAAACTGACATGTCATTTACTGACATCAGAAGAAACTTGAGTGTGGCACAGTCTCTGATGTCTCACCTTGCGCACTACAGAGTCCCTTTTGTTTTACAGATTTGAGTCAGCATTTCAGTTTTGCCTTCATCATGATGGCAATACTCCTTGTTATTCAGAGGAAAACTACAGCCAACATTGCTGGATAGTTGGCTCCTGTAGCCAGTGTGTTTGTTTTCTTTCACTCTATTGTGCTTCCCATTGTCTTTTAAATGCTGTTTTATACGCTATCTAATACACTTTGAATTGCAGTTGTGTTTGAAAGGTGCTACGCCTTGTGTTCCCTTGACACATTGGCAGACAGTGTTTAGAGGATATAATTCATGGTGGTTGGTCAAGGACAGCCAGAGTGAAGCATCACAGACATAAACCATTTTAAGGTTTTCCTCATGAACCATGGACGCCAGTCAGTCACAGACACAGTCAGGATACATTCTGCTAATGTGTGGCAGAGGCAGTATTGTTCCAAACAATTACTGTCAACTCAACATAATTTTCCCTTGATGATTTAGAAAACATTTAGACAACAGCTCTGGTGTGAATGCATGTCTTTTAACATGCCTATAAACAAGATCTACCCATGAATAAAAGTCATTATGTTGCTAGGGAACGACTGGGTTCAAGTTTATTTCTTGTCCCTTATGAATATGATATGAACTAGCACTAAAACAATAAACAGGTGTAGGATATTAGGTCTATTGTTTTTGTTTAAAAAAGTTTTTGTATCAGATGCTTTACAGAAGAATGCCTCTACACTCATATTTGCCAGATGCTTTGAAATAACATCTGCAACATCTGATTTCCATGTGATACCACACTGGCTGTTCTCAGTGTCACATAACTTTCGTATGCTCCTTTTGCATCTCAACTCCATGTGCTCCAAAGAGGAAAAAAAAAAAACTTGGCATAAGCTTTTTAATATTTGTGTGTTCGGAATTACTGCTGTAAAAACATGTTCAAAATTAGCTTTGGCTTTAAAACGTAGATACTTCCCCTGGAGAAGTGGTGGACATAGTATTTTATGTGGAGGAATTTAGGCTATTATCAGTTATTGTCCCTCCACATTGTTCTGCAAACACCTACTCTTGCTACCGGAAGTCAGTATGTTTCTAAACTGAGCATTTCAGGTGCCATAGCTGTCTCCTTTCTACCTGGCTGAGCGCATTTTTATTACTGTACTGCAGTGGGAACTTTAAAGCTGCGGCTTTTCACCTCTCAGCTGGCAGTCCTATGACTGTCATTGTGACCTTCCTGTAACCAGCCTACAGGAAGGGACTTTGCTTGATTATAATGCTGAGAGATGTGTTGTGTACCTTGGAACCAGTAGGCCACAGAATCTGCCGAGTTTGCATAGGGCTTTTTAGAATAACAAGGGCAGCAGTTTTTTAAAATATGGAGCTATTCCCGTGCAAACACAGACAAATCTTTATTTTTGAGTGCTCATGCTTCCTGTTATCTCATAGACTTTCTATAACTTCTTTGTGGTTCACTGGGTATTTACAGTATGCGTTTGTGGGTGTTTTAAAAGAGAGATAGACTTTGGTGCTACTCTAAGTAATAGTGACTCATTTACTTTGGGCAAGAAGCAGGATAGGACTTTGATATGAACAAGTTCATCTGTTTCTCTTTATGGTTTTGCAAGCTGTATATGATGTATAAGTGAAGAGACACAGATGATTTTTAAAATGTGTTCAAATAGGCACTCATTTTAGGACCGAAACTGATTTCAACCCACCCATGCGTCATATTATGTGAAAAGAAGGTTGGTGCAGGGCTGTTGGAAATGCAGTGATGAAAAAAGCACAGCCTGCACACTGACTCCAAACCACAACTTTTCGATCACCGTCGAATCTTTGTCAGATGAAAAACATGAAGGCAACGTTTTGATCCCAGTTATGTCTTCTTCATGACAAACACATTTAGATGACATTTAGATTCCAGATGGATCTTCATCAGGTCAGAAACATTTAAAGGTTTCAACAAACATTTGGACAACATTTTTGAAATGTTTTTGACCTGATGAAGATCCGATTGAATCAAAATGTACAGAATTTAATAGATTTTTGGTTTGGAGTTAGAGCAATAGATCATAGTGGTTATATTCAAAGTCATGCATCCTGTTGAACTATCCCTGAGTTGAACTGCTTCCAATTCACAATAAATTAGGGTAATTTTTTTGTGTTATCAAACAGAGCTAAGACATTCTGCATACTCATTCCTCCTTCCTGCCTGGATACTGCCTACATGTGCATTTTTCAGTCCATTCACTGGCTTTCCTCCAAAATTTTTTTTTAGCCTTCCTCTTTCCCTCCTGAAGTTTTAATTTGTGCTTTCCCTGTTTTCCTGTTGATTGGTACTGTAGGCCAGTGATGGCATGTGCAACTGCATGCAACAGAATGGTCAGGAGTCTTCAAAACCCCTTTTGTTTGACAGATGACCCACCATGTTGACTATAAATATTCATTGAGACAGAAGGGGAAGGACATTAAAGCACCAAGAGTTTGTACTTTCACACCCAAATAGGAAATCTCCTCAACAAGCATACAGAGCGCACTTCCTCTCATCCCTGGCCAGAGCTGTACACAGTCTTTTGGAACCTGAAATTTTCTTAACAAATGAATGAGCAAATATTATTATCAATAACAAAATAGCCCAGTCATAATCATGAGTTACGTTTCTTCAATTTTAGTTACTTTTGACAAGCAAGTGTAACGAAAGGTAATTGGTCTCCTTCATATGTTGTAAAATGAATTTTTTTTTTTTAGGAAAAGATAGCAGCCGCTTATTGTTTTTATCACAACATTAGCCAAACCTTTAGCAGCTTTTGACAGTGAGTCATCATCAGTAGATTCTGTGCTGGAAAAGTTTGTTTGTCATATTTTTCAGCTATTCTCTTTAAAAGAAAATGAGGACAGTTTTATTATTTAGAGTGGCAGGATTGACTGGTGGTTAAATAGACTTGTGGTACCTTGTGAAAAACACTGTATTCTTTTAGAGTTCAAGGGTGCTGTTTTGTGAGGGAGCCTGTGTTTGGGTAAACTTAAAAGTTTTTTTCCCCCCTTCACTTTGTTATTCATGTGGTTTAGTGTCATTCCCAGCACTTAATGAGGCATCTGATGTGAAAAGTATGACTGCAAGCAGATTGCTGATTCCAAATGGTGGTTTTTTGGAGGAGTATCCAATGATAGCTCCTGTCAAAACAAACAAGGGGTTGTTTCAGAGAGAGAATTAAAGATTCCCCCTGTGATTTTTTTTTCTTTCTTTATTTGTTAGCTTTCAGCATAATGCAAGTGGCGGCTGTTTTGATTGGAAAATATGCAGCAGGTTCTGTTTTCCCGTGTGGAAGTCAGTAGGGTTTGATTGAATCCACATTCACACTTCATTAGTTTGGTCTTCCTAATGAAAACAAAGAGCGAGGAGACACTCGGTAGTGAGATAAGTTGAAATAAGTTGAGAGCTATGAGGGCTGAATTACTGTTGCCTTTCTGTCTTTCACCTGTTGTGGTTTTACCTCTGTACTGCATTTATGAAGTGGCACCTTGGGAAATGCATTTGAAGAAATTAACATCAACTTTGGACTGATGGATTTTATTTTTGCAGTTGAAGAAAGCATATTGTTGTTTAGTATTCATCCCTATGCACTTTCAGCATCTTTCTGTCTATGTTTGATTCTTTTATTTTGACATTTTCATGTCCTGTGATTCAACCTACAAGTTTGTTTTTAGATGGATGACTACAAGCGTTTGAAGTTCAGTTTCTCTGCAATATGTCAGACCTTTACACAGTCTTTCTCCTCACATTTGTCCCCACTCTTTCCCACAGGCATACAACATCCATGTCAATGGTGTCCTGCACTGTCGGGTACGCTACAGTCAACTTCTTGGCCTCCATGAACAGGTAAGGCTTAGGCCATCATAATATACCCATGGCTGTCAGTGTGCTTAGACCAGAAGTGACTGGTTCTGCATGCGTAGCCCACTGAACGCTGTTAAAATGCCACCACATCCACCCAGCGTGACCTTTTACTCATCTTTGTGTCATACGGTCGATACGCCAGCGTCCCGTCACTCTCAATCAGGACTGTGATGGCTTGAAGTCTCGTGCTGTTGTCCCACCCAGAGTTCAGACTATTGCATGTAAATGGGCAGCATTGTGGAGGAGGATGGAGGGGGTGGGTGACATGGAAGGAATGTTCTTGGCCTTTCTTTCACTTCACCTGCTGGGAAAAGGAACTTAATCTGAAAAAGCAATGTTGTTGGAAAGAGTAGAGTTGCCTGGTCTCAAGTATTTTTTGGTCTCTGCCTCAGTGAAACTTTAAACAGAGCCACAGCTATTTGTTTGTTTCTTAGAGCTATGTTATTAGGCAATTGGAGTATTCAGTGTGTACTTTTGTTTTTGTAGTGCAGTGGTTGAAAATAAATATAGTCCTGAAAGTGGCTTATGCTGAAGAGGTGCATGCGTTGTTTGCAAAAGATGGATTTAGTTGTTGGATGTCTGGTTGACTTCCTGTGCTATTAGATCTTCGTCACAACACAAAAGTGTTAAAGAAATGCCCAGCTTCATGTTTTTATACATTAATAAGCAAGCAAGGGCCAAACTTTGCTATGTTCTTCCCCAAGTCTGTATTAACCAGTCTGACAGTTGCCGTTGCCTGGCAACAGGGTGTGGGAAAGACACACTCGAATCTTTAAGCATCAACCCCAAAGGGCTTTCTGTGGCGTATGCGTGACCCCAAAACATTCTGGTGATTGCGGCACTCACACTCCGCTCATTTATTGCTGAGAAAATTTGAATGTTAATTGCGGCTCTTGTTTTCTCTTCTGTAAAGACTCGTAACAAGCTGAGTTTTATTTCAGATTTAGGGGACTCTGATGAATCTGTAACCTGTGCTCAGTGTCTGCCTACTGAGCTGATTTGTATGTGTAACCAGTGCTGCCTCTGGCGTACTGAAAATACCAAAGGGCAGTATGTTGAGGTGAAAATCACCTCTCTTCCTCTGGTGCCTACTGTGGTCTGCTTTCATCATTCCATATGTGCAGGACCTGAGGACTTTATAACGAGAAAAAAATGTGTTCATGAATTCCTAATGATGAGTGTGATGCACAGCTTTTGCCCGCAGCGAGATACAGGTTAAAATTAAACCACATTTGATGTGTGAGTCTAGATTCGTGAGGTCTTAGTTTAAGACCTCCACAGTTCAAAGCTACCAGCTTTAGATGACACAAAATGGGAAGAAATGAGTCAAAAAGCTGGAAGACAAAGTAAACTTGGAATGACTAGACATTCAGGGTGCCAGATGTGCCTGTGTGTGAGTGTGTGTGTTATGCACGGAAACTCCACCAGCTAGTCGTTGAAACGGGGCTTAAAATAAACCTGTGATTCATCTCAAGCAGCATGAACATACCTCTTAGAAAAATGAATCCACAACTCTTTAATTCAGGGTACTGCCACTCTGTGCTGAAGTTAATAAGTTTAATCATATAAACCCACATATCTGCTTTCACAGATGTTCTAAATTTTATATTTAAATAAAAATGAATTGAGCTTTCTGACTCTGCTCAAATATTCACTGTCAGAAGCAGAGAACTACAGGTTTTCATAGCCCTTCAATACAGCAACCTCTTTGTTTAGGTTCACAACTTGTGTTTCGCACCAACAGATAAAGAAAGAATATGGCAGCAATGTGGTGCCTGCCTTCCCTCCAAAGAAGATCTTCACACTGACTCCTGCTGAGGTCGAACAGAGACGGGAACAGCTGGAGAAATACATGCAGGCTGGTAAGTTACTCACACTGAACGGACTTTTTACTCGTGGGTTGTATTGCATTTCAATTCATTTCTGGCTGGATTTTAATTCCAGCTACAATGAGCTTGTTTTTGTCAGTGTTTAAATTAGATAGTACTCCTCTGTGAATTGCTATTCACATGTCCCTGCTAATGTATTTCCTCTTTTCCATATGGGTGGGGGTAGGGGTGGGAGTGGGTTGTGTCTCAAAGACTTTGTTTTACTTTGGTGCACAAACACTATTTCCTTGAAATGTTTGCCTCTCCACAACAATCACAAGAATGACTTGGCTGTGTGTCTGTGGGGAGTCCAGCCATACACTGGTCTTTTCATGCCATAGAAAAGCAAAAAAAAAAAAAAAAAAAAAAAAAAAGTGATTCACTGAAGAACTGATGATCTGAGCACAGTCAGCTGGGACACTGAGCCAAAGCCTCGCTAGACAGAGTTATGCTGACACACCTGAAAAAAAAAAATCCCTACTCAGGTTTTCAGACCTGGTAGGGTTTTTAAAAGTTTTATAGGTTTGGATCCTCTAGTAATGATCTGCTTCCCTCAGGGCCGCTCAACTTTTGTCTGAATAAAAAAACTGAATGTCATAAAGAAGGCCTTCTTTTGCAAGTCTCATATCATGTTCAAGAAGCCAAACTGGAGTTTCATATCCAAGTTGGGGAGGTTTTCAACACATTGCCGAAATTTTGTAAACAGGTCGAGGGTGAGCTTTCTGCGTACACACATGAGTACGTGGAACTGGCAGCAATGCGGAGGGTTTGTTTTAATCCTCTCAAGCACTGGCAGTTACAGCAGAACAAGGAAGCGTTGTTCGAGTGTGTATTTGCTCATAGTCTGGGAGCATACGCACACAGGGTGTTCTTGGCTACAAGTTCAGTTGGTTACATCATAGCTTTTTACATAGTTATGGAAAATGAACTGCCACAAACACAATCTGCTCTGACGCAGTTTGCTCACAGAACTTTCACATTTTGTCAAGGGGTTAGACTAATTTGTCCTTTATTTACCAAATCTGTGGACTGCATGATGTTAAAACTGGTTTGTAATAATTTACAGTTAATTGAACCGATGCCAGATAAGAAGTTAATTAATTTTTTACTGACCTCCCTTCATAAAGTGCTTTTTTTTTGCCATGTTAAACCAAATTGCCTCAACAAATGTCTTTAAAGGTCATACCCATTTCACAGGAAAGAAAATCAAATTGCGCGATAAGAGGACAATTAGGAAGAATTAGGAAATGGCTCTGCCTAAGGAGGTTTATGTTTACACAACATCCACCGAAAGAGCCATAGCTAATTGCTCGAGGTAACCATTCAAAGCCAAATAACTCTTTCCGACTTCCGCTGCTCCAACAATATACTCATTTTGTAATTCTGTTGCTCTTTTGGTTTCTCAAATTTTTTTATTTTGTTTACAGTACGTCAGGATCCCTTGCTCGGAGCCAGTGAGATGTTCAACAGCTTCTTAAGGAAAGCACAGCAGGTTGGTAGTTGTTGTTTTTCCTCCTACCTGCGTTAGGCTGTTTTCTGTTGGTCAACAGGCCTGTGAGGAGGCAGGGCGTGCTCCTTGAACCAAAAGGCTGATGCAGTCATTTCTGCCCGGCTAGTAATTACTTCTGGCATTGTGGTGGAGTGAGGTAAGTGAGGTGGCTGTATTCTTACTGTGTGTCGCAGTTCGTGGCAGCACATACTCTAATCTTGGATTGTGTCATCTCTACTTTTGAATTACTTGTCCTGTCGGATTAGGTTTTTGTCAGTGTTCAGATGTCTGTGAAATAATTACGTCAGACATGAAGCTGAAGGGAAAGCAACCCTTTGCCAGACAGATATAGCAATATAGTTGCATCTTGTGTGGGTGTGGGTCCTTTTGAACTATTATATCATTAAAAAAAAAAGGAAACATGAGCCACCAAATGATTCATCCCTGTGTGATTAGCCAAAAAGGTCATTCTGCAGCACTAAAAATGCAAGAAAATTCTTAACTGTAGTGGGCAATGCTGTAATAACATAAACTCATGGTATGTTTGTTGCTGCCTGATAGAAAAAAAAAAAAAACATTTTGCATCATTGACTCATTCAGACCAGGTAGCAGTGTTGATTCGTCATCATTCAAGCTGTGACCTGTATCCCCAGGAGGGCTGTAAATCCAATAACCTTCATGGACAGATTCATCCGTCTGCAGCCACATCACACCCATTCTGCTTCTCCTTCTCTGTCTTCCTCTCTCATTAGACTGAGTATTTGTCTCTCTCCCCTCCCCCCCTCCAGCGCCTTACAGTACGCACTGCGAGGACAGCAGGTGCAGAATAGGAGATGAGTTACCACCCGCTGTTGTCATTTCATCTGCACCTTTAGTGGCAGGGATGTACTTGGAGACTCCCTGCAGAGGAAACAACGAAGATAAGAGATGATTTAGCAGTGGTGGTGAGAGACTGCCTCAGGACAGGAGAGACCGGGGTTATCCAGTTTAAGATTTCATATTTGGTATCTTCAGTTCAGAAGCTACTATTTAGAGTTTTGAAATATTCATAGGTTTTTTCAGTTCAGTTTATTTTCCTTACTTGTTATTCATTGATTTTTGTGGGTTTTTGTTCCATCATCTGCTTTTTTCAGTTAAGACATGAACAGAGGCACAGACTCAGCAGTAATAATGATTAAAACTCCCTTAATTTCTGTGTGAGCTCACAGCACTAAAATAAATGGATGGCACTATTAAAGCTGCAACAACTAGTATATTGCCAGAAAATTAATGCAACAGTTCTGATAATTGATGCCGACATTCTCTGGTCCCAGCTTCTCGAATGTGAATATTTGCTGGTCTCCTTATTCTTATATGATAGTAAACTGAATCTCTTTGGGTTTTGGACAAAACCAGACATCACTCTGGGTTCTGGGAAACTGGAATATCACCTTTTTGACACCATATAGAAGATTAACCAGGGACTAGAAAAGTTAACAGGGAATTTAACAGTAACAGGGAAGTTAGAAAAGTTGTAATTGCAGTTGGTTTTACACTTGGTGAATGAACTTGGTACCACAGATTCCAATCTTGACCCTAGAAACGACACAGCTGTGTTCATATTTTTTTTGTGTCAAAAGTTGATCATTAAAGTGGAAGGATTAAAGTGGAAGAGTAATCATATTTGATTTTATTTGCCAGTGTATGCTGGGATTAAAAACACTAAAAGAAAAGTGTATGTGAAATGTGCATCGTATGTTTTGTTTTTGTCTCCACTTGAAATTCAACTTCGCTTTGATAAACCCATATTTTTCCGCCCATGTGACCTGGTGGGATTTTGTTGTCAACTAATAGGAATGAAAACACATAGCTTACCCATCAAGCTAAAGGACAGCCTGTTATGTTTTGTGTCTTTCCCACAGGAGACGCAGCAGATTCCCACAGAAGATGTTGCTCTAGACATCTGCCTCTCCAACGGTCAGAAGGTTACAGTCAACATTCTGACCTCAGATCAGACGGAGGATGTCCTTGATGTAAGTGTCGGAAGTGTGCTCTGTTAAAGAGAACATCAACACACTGGTTTCACCATTTTTTTTTCCAACTCTACACTTCGTAAAGATTTGTAATTTAACTTAGAGAAACAAAACAAAAAAAGCGTCATTAACAACTGTTGCTGAATATGCTGTCTGTAGAAGTGGATGCCCAACTTATTTTGAAGAATATTGAGTTTATATAGTAAACAATCCACTTCAGTGTATAAATGTTATAATGTTTACAGATGGAAATTGTATGATGTAGTGCTAATTGATTCTGCAAGAAGTCTGGATAAGGTTAACATCATCTGAGGTCTTAAAAGGTTTTTGCTGTGTGTTATCAACCTTTGCAGTGTTGCAGTCTGTTTAACTGGAGGCATTTGATCTGGGCAGTTCATAACAGTGCTGACAGACTCACGAGATTTCCTTCAGGCAGGAAATATTGCTGTAGACCATTCTGTAAACTCAATAGACGGTACATATCGTAAATCAGATGAAGTCGCATTCATTTATGTAGACTGTCTTCACCAAGGCAACGCTTAAGGACTTTATGTAGTCAGGGCTACTTCGATCTATCTAATGAAAAATCACAACAGAATGACAATGTTCAAACAAAACAAAGTAAGATGGAAGGAACCAAACAAAACAAGACACTTAATATGATGAAAAGCCTGATGGGCATAGGTAACATAGAAATGGAATAAATCTTGGACAAGGCAGGTTAAAGCACCATGGACAAACTTTGTGATTAAAATGAGATAACAGCAAATGTACAAAACAGTCAGTAACATTGGTGATATTTAATATGTGGTGTTCATGTAGGTCAGGCCTTTTTGCACGTGCACTCGATCTCTGCCCTGCATTGACCATAAAAACACACAACCCGCAACCGCACGCACTCTAAAATAACTCATCACAGTAAACATGCTGATGTGTCATCATAATGTCCTTGACTATAAATCTCGATTGTTAGAGCTGTCTTTAAGTGCTCTCATGAAAGTTTCACCACACAGATAACCTCTGTTCACCACAGCAGAATATATTTCAGCCACAACAGAATTTCATGCAGTATGTGTGTGTGTGTTTTTTTTTTTTACTGTAATAGCTGTGTTTTGTCTCAAAAATTCAACAACTGAAATCACATTTGTAGCAGTTGTGTCACAGGAGTTAAAAACCAGCTCACAGAAGAAATGGTACTATTAAAGCAGCAAAAATAGATTCTTTATATCAGAGTTGTCATGGAGAATCAGAAAACAATCCTTCTGTGTAAGAATGTAACGGTGATGAAAAGCCAAAGACAGTCGGTCATTTTATGCATCCTGATTCTAAAATGTTGTGATTTGTTCTGCAGTGGCAGTATACGCCTGGGTTTGTGTTTAATACTTGATAAATTGAGTCATAATAATGCAAGTTAATATTACAAAACAAAGCACATAAATCTTCTCAAAGCTAAAGGAGCCAGTATAAATCCTGTGTAACACTACAGCACTTTATTTGCTAAATCCTCCTCCATTTCAAATCTGTCACTTTAGAGGTGTTTGTACTGTAGAGATAGTAACGTTTGATTGTGGTTATATGCCTTTTTTTGATGTACTGCACATTCCAATCTTCAGTCAAAATTTTTTTCACTTCATACTGAGCTGTTTTTTCTCCTGTTTTCAATCATGTTTATCTTCATTTCTCATATCTTAACGAAAGAAAATCTGATGAAGGACTGACATAATTGAATCTGATTGTGAAAATTAAAAAATTAATTCTCTCTTTCTCTCTCTCTCTCTTCTTTCTCTCTTTCTCATTTTTCTGCAGGCTGTTGCAACAAAGCTTGACCTTCCTGATGACCTTGTTGGTTATTTCAGTCTCTTCCTCGTTCGTGAGGGTGTGGACGGAGGTTTAACATGTGAGTTTCAACATCCACGTCTTAAAAGCAATTTGACCTCATGTTACATTTCCTTATCTCTGTTATTAGTAGAGAGAATTCTACATATAATGCACTAAAGTGCTTAATTATTGGTCAATGAATATGGCAGCGAGAAAGCAAAGTAAACAGACACAGAAATTATTTGTAGCTGAAAGTTTGAATTAGTTGGTAGCAAATATTTGAAGGATAGTTTTGTCCATTAGAAAGATCCTTAAAGTAGATCTGCTGATAATTTAGATCCACCCTTAATCCATTTAAGAGCTTCAGCTTTTTAAAATGCTAAAGCTGGAAATCATCAGATAACTGATGTTTATTAAAGCAGACGAAATTTGCAGAACACTTCGCTCTTTGATAAAATAATGTAAATATAAACTACTTTTATCAGGTCAGCCAAGGACTGTTCTCAGAAGACACATCACGCAGAACCAAGAGGACAAATTATTCTTACAAACACAAACAGAAGAAAATAGGATTTGGGATTAAAAACTAAAACTTTTGTTAAGCTTCACTGTAGAATAACTTTCTGCTAAAGCAAAGGGTATTATGTTCTGTAATGTCATGCTCTTGATTTTAGTTTTCTTTGACTCTGAATCCCCCACAATGAGGTGTAAAGAACTGCTCTGGCAGCGGTCCAACAGCTCAGTTTATCTGTCTCTTTGTTTGGCAAAATTCTCTAGTCTAATTAAAACACGACTGCATCGCCAATTTTTTTCGGGGGGAGAGGGAAATGGGGGAGCACAGCGATTTAAAAAAAAAAAATAATAATTTTTTTTTAGGATGAGGGTTTAAAATGAATAAATGATAATACATAAATAAATTACACATATAGTAGTAAACACATAAGATTTGTATCAATGTCTAAATTTGAAGAAAATTAACAAGTCTTGTTAAACTTGTTTATTTACCCAAAATGAATTAATTCTGCAGTCAAATGTCCTGCCTGCCTGCGCAGAGAGCAGCTGCGCACACCACTCGAAGCGGGTTGTGGTAACAGATGGGTTGAAATTGTATGTATGTTTGTGGATTGGGTGTCTAGCTTGTGCTTCATACACAATCTGGCAACTAGGATTACGTCAGACAAACATACAAAACGCATGGATCCATATATGACGATGATTTTTGATGAAGGTTGAGGCAGCTGGGTGATTATCTTGAAAATACAGGGAAACTTCCGGTAAAAACAAGAGTGCTGGCAGGTATGCACATGAGACATGGTGCAGTTCTGACTGTATCTCTGGCTGGAATGCATGATTCATCTGTTAGGTGCTTGGAAGCTAAGTGAGAGCCAGGCTTTGTGTGTTTGATGGCTGGCTCATGCAAAACAGTTGTGCAGTGCTCAGAGTGAACTTGAGCTTACGCACCCGGCCGTGTGCAGTGCTTTCAAGTTGAGAATGTACTTGTATGATATAGAATGTACTGTGTCTAAGCTCTGATATCTGACACTCGTCGGCTTCAAAATGGCATCATATTCTGGTTAGTGGAGTAATGTTTCTTTTGTGAAGAAGAGACTTCAGAAATTAATCTGCACTTTAAACTGCAAATCCATGCTGAAGGATGACATACTGTAAATACATAAATGAAAACATATCATTTTGGATGGGGTGAATGTATTTGTTGCCTGTATACATTTTATATCTGGAAAACCGGCAACTTAATTCACACTTTCATTTCCTCGCGTCTAGATCGTTGTACTTTCCTCCACATGAGCCTCAGCAAGCCGCTCCAAATCATTTACATTTGGTTCAAATTGCAGCTGCCAGGCTACTAACTACAACGAGCCGTCTGTCTCACATTACCTCTGTTCTTACATCCCTCCATTGGCCTCCTGTAAAGTTTAAACTACAAGTTCCTGTTGATTACATATAAGGCACTGCATGACCTTGCCCCCAGTTACTTTTCTGATCTCCTCATTCCTCTCCAACCTCTCCAGTCCTCAGATCTCTGCCTTTTATCCATCCCTCCAACCCCCCCCCACCCCCACCCCTTTACTGTTTTAGCTCCAACCCTCTGGAATCATCTTCCCCAATCCATCAGATTTGCTGAATCTTTGGACTGTTTCTGAAAACCCATCTTTATAGGCAAGGCTTTTTATAGACCCCATCCCTGTGCTACCACATTCAGTTACTGTCATCAGGTGGGATTTTAACTGTTTCATGCAAGACCCCCTCGAAACTAAGATGGCAAGTCTCAAGGGGCAAATCCCCAAATACAGAGGAGAACATAAAATAATCATTTTGAAATAACCTCAGGGGTGATGGATTTTAGCTTTATGATTTGTTTAAATAATATGATGAAGTTAGGTATTTAATTTGCTGGTTATTTTATCCCCATAAAATGTTTCTCTATTGTTTTTAATTTACTATATCACAATAGTAATATAGTAAACGGTATATCAATACAACAATGTAAAGTTACACAAACCATGACAGCAGATGCTAGCATATCACTCACAAAAAAAACTGCAGTTTTTCTGAGCAGTGCTCCAACACCCTATGCTCCGATGATCTGCTGTCCTCTGAGCTCTTAGTTGTCTCATCCTGCTTTAAAACACACTTGAAACTCAAGTGTTCACACAGTATATGGCAGTTGACATGTGCTGCTAACCTAATTGGGATGCTACCTAATGTGACTTTTATTAGTAGGATGTTTTCCTACTCGTTATTAAGTCACTTAAATGTTAAGTTTTCCTCACTCTGTCGTGCGGGGTATACACAATAGAACTCCTCAGTACTTAGAAGGTGCAGGCATCTTTGTTTTGTACTCACTTGTTTTTCCATAGGTAGCTGTGTGAATGCAAATCATTGTAGGATATTTGCACCTGCATGCTGTCACAAGGACAACCACAATGACACAGGCAACAGAACAGGCAACAGCTTTCCACATCAAGATGTTTTAAGTTTTCCGAATTCACTTTTCCATTTCATCACACCCCTGTTGGGTCAAATCCCCCCCTATGTCCCTAAGGCGCTGCTCTTCTCTCGTCTTCCACCTGCCAAATGCAACCCCCCCACACACACACACACACACACACACACACACACACACACACACACTCCTCACGCTAAATTCATTCCAGGCTGAAAATGGTGCCAGGTGAACTTGGAGAAATCTGTCAATATTGCAGGCATGTTGTATATTCTTGGTACAGTTTAAATCTGAAAATCTGAGCGGTATGAAGGAAAAGGGCTGTGTGTTAATATGACTCGAATACTAGAATAAATCCGGCACAGCAGGCTGCGGATCAAACAAAACTGGTGGTGGGAGTATTGACATAAGGGTAGCTAGAAGAAGTCAATTCCTTACTGACAGGCAGCAAGTTTCCCAGAAGTATTGAGTGTAAATCAATATATGCTGTAAAATATGCAAAGGAATGTCAGGAAGACCCAGTATATGCTCGTCTTCTTTCTGTGTGCAGTTTCCCGCTGACGATTTAGTGTGCCGAGGACTGCTTCAAAACATTTTGATCGTTCGGTTTGTGTGTTTTTTTTTTATTTATTTTTTTTTTAATCCTGCAGAGATTTGCAACATCAAAATGTCCACCAGTGTTTCTGCATCTTGTACACAACATCTCTGCCCATAAAGACAACATTAGCATACTTTTACAAACCTAATGGCAAACTAAAGCGCTCTTCAGTCATTGGATTTGTTGTGTTGTTTACAACATTTATTGATGCCTGAAAACCCAGCAGCAGCAGCAGCAGCAGCAACAAGCACCTGAGATCTCCTTTACATCTCCTTAGGGAATGGGCTGCAATGAAACAGCTGCAGACTATGAACCAACACACACACACACACACACACACACACACACACACACACACACACACCATTATCTGTTTTCACATTTGAATACTGGCACGTGCACACACACAAAAAAAGTTTTACCCTTCTGGGACCTGTCCAGATGGAGTCTTCCCATCCCTGATTGTTTGTTGTTGGCATCATTATCCAAATGTCCTTGGGACTTTAGCTGCACTTGTGCCTAACTCTCTCTCTCTCTCTCTCTCTCTCTCTCTCTCTCTCTCTCTCTTCTCTCTCTCTTTCTCTCTCCCTCTCTGTGTCTTCCTGTGTCTCCCTCTCAGTTGTGCGGAAGCTGCAGGAGTTTGAGCTGCCTTATGTATCCATTACCAGCTTGCGGAGCTCTGAATTTCACATACTCCTACGGAAAAGGTACCCACCACCTGCTCACATCATGACTTTGAATTTCATCGTGTACTTCCCTGAAGTGCTCTCCTCCACATTTACTGTAATTATAGCTCTGATTCATTGTCCAGAGTATTCACGTGTTATTTATCTAATCCTGTAATGACGCTGGTCAGAGATTTCTGTTTTTGGTAAGCAGTACATACATAAACTACATCTGCTGTACTTTGTATCATTTTAATTCAGTGTGGCACTCTGTTTTCCTTTTTCAGAAATGGGTGTTACCCATTTCATTCCTTATCTGCAGTGAAGCACTTGTTCTTAATGTGTCAGAACAGCGGTTAGCCTAACTACAGGCTTCTTATCCAGTGTCACCATCTTCCACAAAGTGCCAGTTAATTTAGAAAAGAGACCTGGGTCATTAGTTTTACCATTTATTTTGCCAAGGACAGTTATCATGACCAGACAGGTGGTGCGTTTGACAGGCAGGGATTAGCCAGGGACATAATTCTGATGTTGCTGCAGCATGGAGCTGGACAATAAAATGTATTTCAGTTTACACAATGAATCCCCCACCCAATAAAATCTTCTCATGTAGCAATTTTCAGTTGGTCTATAAAGTTCCAGAAGCTAGAACAACCAGTGACATCTAAGCAGTAGTTAAATTAGCCCAGCAGCCAACCGCATAGTACCTGATAGATAAAGAAAAAAGAATTGTAACTACATTTAATGCAGTCAGAGTGATTTATATTGATATAGATTTTAGGGATTTTGCATTTTGTCAAGCCTCACTGCAGCGTGCTTCCTGCTGCTTTGCAAGCTGAACAGGGAACTCCACCGATCAAACACATCAAAGTCTGTTTAAATGTCTTGGTGAGTACTGCAGCATACATGAAAAAAAGCTGTATAAAGCTTTTTGTGGCTCCAGAGGGAGTTGCACAAAATCTGATAAACTGCCTGAAGTGTTTGAGTCATCATCAACGAGGCTGAACACTACAAGTTGGAAAATGATTTAAGAAAATAAAAAATCTGGGCGTGTGAAGTTAGAAAGAAGTGAGGTTACCAGATTTCTGAGGCCTGCTCTTCTTTTCTTCCTCAGCCAGAGGCTCAAGGCTACATTACCTGCTAGTAGCATAATACAACCAAATCTCTAACTGAACTGTTCCCAGTTCAGATGCATTTTGGGCAATGTAGGTGCCAGATTTGGGAAAGGAAGAAGGGTGCGACATAAAAACAGATGATATTGCTGGTTCTGCTGCATCGATTTTGATTCTTTTCACCCTGAGTCCGACTAATGAGTGCAGTGTTTAATCGGTGTAGTCTTTGAAGCATCTTAAGCTATGGTCAGAATGATGTCCCACTGAAAACTGGACACCCGGGATTCAGACAGGTCAGTTATGTTATATTAGGAGACTTGGCTTGAGTTTAGGGTGCGTGCAGGGTGCACAAGAAACATGAATAGAGAATTCAACAAGAACAAGAATTCCCATAAAAGTGAAACACCAACTCTTTAACACAGTGTCAAAAAAAATTGAAATGATAAAACATCTCAAAGTTCATATTTCTTGACAACTGTTGTACTGGATTGTGTGCTCAGTGTTTCTCACAGGTTGACAGTTTATTTGCAGGTGTTTGACACTGGAGGGAGGAGGGTGGGTCGCTCCACCAAAACATGAGGACAGTTTAAACTTAAATCCCTTGTTTTTAACAAACCAAATAACAGGAAACACATTTCTTTACACTTATGGTTAAACAGTGACCAACAACACGTCCTTTAACTTTACTGCCCCTCCAACAGCAGAGAAATCCTTTGGTTCTGGTATATTTATGTTTGTTATCTTTTCTGAAAACAAAAGTTACAGACAATAATGCACAAGTGTAACTTTGCCTCTTATGAGAGATGGGGGGTCAGCGGCTGCTTTTGCAGGGTTATAAGCATCTGTCATCACACCAGCAAGCATTGTGTATCAAAAAATACGAAAAAAATCTTCTTGGGTTGGAGCAAATCTGTTTCGGTGGACCAGCCAAACAAATTCTGTGCATGGAAAATCCTGATGCTGCTTTCCCCTCCAGTCTGAAGTTAGAGACTGCTCCCCTCGCCAACATAACATTTTTCTACTTCCTCATGTGTCTTCTCTTTCGTCACCCTGCCCCCTGCTGACTGAGGTACACAGGATGTTTACTTTCTTTCTGCCTCAAGGAAAGTCTTAGTCCTCCTGACCTAGTTTCACTGTGAGTGTAGAGCAGCGAGGGAAGAGTGAATGTAAAACTAACAAGTGGAGGTAGAGGAAAAACAGACCCCCAGTGTATGATATCCAGGGGAGGATCAGGCTAAAAATGGAAGAAATGCTGTGTCTGTCCAGTGAAAACATTAAATCAACGTCATGTCAACCTTTTTACGTATGAATAGTATTGTTTAGTAATGGCTGTTTTTTTTGTTTTTTTTAGGTCAGCAGCAATATGCACTTATATATTTATAATGCTAAAGTGTAGCTACTTGACATTTTCAATCAGTATATGCATGTAGAGAATTCAAAACACAGCCTGTATGTCTCAGCAGAAGCTTTCAGTCCACTTTTAATTGCTACTAAAGCTGCAAAAAAAGCTCTGACAGATGTACACATCTTGATTTCACTGGTCATATTCTCTCATTCCCTTCCTTCCCTCCTCCTTTCACTCTCACTCCATCTTCTTTTCCCTTGTTGCCTGCTTTGAATTTCTGATGTGGCCAGGCAGCATGCTTCATGTCTGCTCGAGCAACTTCTCCATCCACCAGCACCCCTGTGTCATGTAATTACATGTTAAATTTCATGCCTGTGCTGAAGTGTGTGGAGACATGAATGATATTTTGCTAGAGCACAAAGGTGGATAAAAAATTCAGTGCTGTGCCAACTCAGATGGTAATAATCCTATCCTGAGGTATGAAACCAGTGTCAGTTAAATGAAGAAATTTAATCACGCTGAGTGGAAAATATGGCCCAAATAATTTTCATCAAGAGTGATTGGTTTGCCAGATGTGATCTTTCCTAACTCTTTCTTTCTTTTTTTCTTTCTTTCACATTTGTGACATTTTCACATCTAGTCCGAGATCTGATCTGATCTGATCTGATCTCATTTCATTTCACCACCAACTGTTAGATAGGATTTCATGCTTTTTTTTCTTTTAGACATCACGCTCTACTCCTCAGGCTGCACTCCGGCACCAACACATAAGCAAATACTTATAATCCACATCATCATCAGCAGACCAAGCAGACAAAATGACCCTTGAGATGAATACTTACACTTCTGTCTCACTGATACTGAGCTGAGGCGGAGTTTAGTCACTCTCATTTCACTGATTTGAAAAAGACTCAGTTCAGGTGTATATCTGACATCATTGTGTTGAAGTTGATCGTACACTGCCAACCTTTAGGCGCCTATTGTCACAGAAAACCATGTATCTCCAAATAAGGTGATTTTTGAGAGTTCCTTTAAGGGTTGAGACACTTGTAATCTGCATAAACCATTTAAAACATTGAAAGATCTGAAAAATACGTTCGCAAAACTGAAAACGGATCTATTTTGATGAAAATGTCAGTTTTTTTTTTTTTTTTAGATAAATTGTTTACAAACATCTACACTGCTACGTAGTGTTGCTTGGTATGCAGACAGAATTATAGTAGATGATATACTGTTGGCAAATGGCCAGATATGATGGTAATTTCATGGAATTTGTTTCAGGCTCCAAGACATTCAAAGAAATTGGCACTGTCGATAGTAACTGTGCAACTGTGTTAATTATAATGCATGTTTGAATATAGATTTATAGAATCTGACTGTTGGTGCCATTCCCTCCTGCAGCTATTGGGACATGGCGTACGATGGTGACGTGATGGACAACAGAGTTGGCCTGAATTTGCTATACGCCCAGGTAAGCGATGTCATGACATGTTGTTAATTTTCAGCTGTAGCAGTGGTCATAAAAAAATACCTTTTTTCTTTAAAATCATTTTTTTTCTTTGAGGTGTGAAACCAAACACATCTGTTATGTTTTTATGGAGCGCACATGGAGCCAGCTTCACATCAAGAAAACTAAACCAAGCAACTGCTACATCCCTGAGCTGCCAAATGCTTTTGTCCGTCCCCTGGGCCGCTCCATTATATGATAGCGGTGTCAGCTTGTTTTGACTTTGCAACACCCTGATTCCTGTACCGCTTTGTGGCCCTACGTGATCCTATTAATAGCGGATTCCCTTGGCCGCAACAGCTGTCAACTGTTGTTTTAAGCATTTTTGGTTTGGCTAATTTGATTAAAATCTGGAACTGCTGAGTGTTGCTTCTGTGCAGCAGAGAGGAGATTTAAAAAGAATGAAATCAAGGAAAAATAAACAGTGTTTGCAGCATGTGCATTTGTGCATGTGTCTGTGTAATTATTTGCTGAGCTGCACTGTTTACATAAAAAGGCTTGGGGTGTGATTTCTCCTACATGTACAAAAGGAAACAAAAAAAGACTTTTTGTTCATCTGTGCAGAATATGAACTTCAGTTTTTTTTTTGCTTCACCAGACAGTGTCTGACATTGAGCGAGGCTGGATACTCGTCAACAAAGACCAGCACAGGCAGCTCAAATCACTGCAGGAGAAAGGCTCCAAGAAAGAGGTAAGCATAGGCATCATGTAGGTTACTCAGCATCCACAGCATCTGACTAGAATCCAGCTGATACTCAGATATGTCTTCGTCCGAGGATAAATCTCTAGACCACAGAGAGTACTGCCACTAGTGTATTCTGTTATGCAATTAGCCTAGTTTTTCCCATGATATAAATTTTTAATCACATAAATCCAGTAGAGAATTCAAACTTTCTTCCCCTGGGATTAGACTGAGACGGAATTTTTAGAAAAGTTAGTCATCTAAAATTGTTTTTGTTACATTTTCTCCCCAGTTCATCCATCTCGGTCAGACGCTCAAATATTATGGCTATATCAAGTTTGACCCATGTATTACCGACTTCCCAGAGAAGGGCTGCCAAGTCATAGTCAGTGCCGGCAACAATGAGCTCAACTTCCACGTCAAGCTGCCCAACGAGCAAATGAAGGAGGGAAGCTTCAAGGTCACACGCATGAGGTGCTGGCGAGTCACATCCTCTGTAAGTGGAATTGTGTGCAAGATAGCATGATTATGAGTGAATTCACCTTCAGGCATGTCTGCATGTCTGAGGCTCTGAAAATCCCTCCACTTTATTAGGAGGCTGTGACTTTGGCTAGAGCCCATCTCGAACCAAGCAGGTCTTCTGTGCTATCAAAGTCGCCTGTTTACCAACCTCCTCTCACCACTGCAACGCAAACTAATGTCTTTAGTCTTGCCAAGCATTAGTTTTTACTCCTACTGCTCGCCGAAAGTGATGACCTCCACACCATCTGTCTTCATCAGTCCAATTACCCAAACAAGCAGCCCACGCAAGGATAGTGCTTTATTGATCCAGCAGCATCCTTTGTTTTAGCTGATAATTGTCCTTTGGCGAGGGGGGAATCTGATGGCATGCAGACAGCATACAACTGCAACTATTACAACCAACGCTGAAAATAAAACTTGAGACCTTCAAGGAAAGGAAAGAGCAGAGTTTGTGTTTTCATACAACGAAGGATTTGCTGTTAAACCATATTAGTTTAGTCTTGTCACCTAGTGCCTGAGATGCTGTCAGGCTCCGTCAGCTCGGCAGATGACGGTGATGGATTGATCAGGCTTACCCGTCTCAGGGAGTAAAAGAATGCAGCGTGTTGCACTGTCAACGGAAAACGTTATTTTCCACAAAATGTTTGAGGCAGTGGAAGTCAGCTGAGAGTTTGAATAAGAGGGGAAAAAAAATCCACACAAGAGAGCAAAATGTGGAAGAACAACAACATAAGATAAATGACTTTTAAAGGGACATTCCACCAATATGAGATTTGAAGATGAGTTTACTCATCATGGGGATTAACACACACACTAGCCTAGTCTGTCTGGTACGGGTTTGTAAGAGCCCGGGAGGATATAAAGAAGATTCAGATCCAATTCCATTGTAGGAAATGTAGTAGACGGTGGTTTTGGAACTTGTATACTGGAGACTGAAAGGATTTCTCGGCTTCTGCTGGACTGATGTTGACCATTGTTTTCTTAAATATTTTCCCCAACTTTTTGGAAGTGCAATACAAAAAAAATGTTGGAATTTTTGAATTCGACGGACTACATTCAACTCTGTGTTTGCAGCTCTTTTTTTGTTCACGTGAAACTGTTGTAGCTGGCAAGAAATCCAGAACAAATCCCTTTTCAAAAGAATAAAATATAACAAGATAAAATTAGCCTAAATTAAAAACCACCATACAGCACACAGTTGATCTGCCTTGAATATGCATTTCTTTCTGCTCTAACCCAGTCAGTCGTCTTGAAGAGACAGTTCCTCTGAAAGCTGGAACAGCTCACTTTCACTTCTTTGACTTGCTCAGAAAAACATTACATGCAGCGCTACCCACATCTTTTCCACTGTTTGACAGATGAACATTAATAGACGCAAGACCTCAATTAAGTAGAGATGGAGTAAACGGGTCACTTTAGTATTGCATTAGTGCTCGAGCAGCAGTTATTATATGTATCACAGAAGCTTTTAGGATTCTCCAAAAGTTAATTTGCACAGTGATCTGGACACATGGCAACACATCTAAAATTAAAATGCATGTTGGCTCGTCTGATTACAGACTGACCCCACCCCACCACCCCCCCACCCCCTTCACTGTCCAGCAGGGTGATTAATTCCTCAACTCATTCTCAGAGGTCAAAGTCATTTTAATGAGCCCTTTCCTTTCCAACAGACTATTCAAAACATCTCATTTGGTGCTGCGCTGCAACCCCCTCGTAGCCAAATCTCAAATTGCATCCGGAAGAGCACATATAAACAGCCTGTGTGTGTGTGTGTGTGTGTGTGTGTGTGTGTACTCCAGCCTTTTGTTTTTATAAGTATTCTTTATTTATCTTATCTTTCTGTGTGTGGTTAGCATGGGAGGTACAGTTAGTTTCTGGCCCAGAGGAAACTGTCTCAGTGAGGAGCACAGGCTTCATAAATGAGGAATGAGGGCTCATCTCCAGGGAGCTCTTTATGTGTCGCTGAGCTTCACAAATTTTTTTGAAAGCATTTGAAATTCTGTATTAGTGCATATTTCGTCTCTTTCTTTGCACCCGTGTTAATCTTTTAGCGTGTGTCGTCTCAAGATTTGGAAGGCTGTCATTTGTGATGCAGCAGCAGCTGCTCAAGAAGAAGAGATGTAGGATAGGAAATGTGATTTAGCTGCTTACATGTACATGACTCCCCCAGTCATGGAATAGAATAGCAAGCTTATCATTTACTTAAGAATGTAAGTTGGATGCTGGTTATGAAATATGGAAATATGCCTTTTTCATACATTTTAAACACAAGAAGGTAAATTTAACTTGACGGCTGAAGAAGGAAAAAGCCCACAATAGAATCAAAATGAATCACAAGTGGTTGATGATAACAGTTGCAGCAGTTGCGGTATATTGTACGTTTAGAAGATAATAACAATGGTGGCACTTTTTTGTCCAACACTGCAGCAAGTCCCCATAGCCAACGGTACAACCAATCCCTGCAGCTCAGCCAAGTGCGAGGTCAAGCTAGAGCTGGCCTTCGAGTATCTGATGAGCAAGGACCGCCTCCAGTGGGTCACCATCACCAGTCAGCAGGTAGGAGACCACCGACAGGGTCAACGTGGAGGCAGCAAGCGTTAAATGAAATTGTGATTGTGTTTATTATGAATAGAGCATTTTGTCTTTGCTTCTTCTTCGAAACAAACTATCCCAGTGTGTCACTTCACACTGTCTGAGAAAGAGTTTTGATTAAAAATTGATTCAACAAGTACAATACTGTTACAGTGTTCCAGATGTTATGACTTTGACTGTGACTGTGATTTCAGGCAATCATGATGAGTATCTGCCTTCAGTCTATGGTGGATGAATTAATGGTGAAGAAGTCAGGTGGCAGTATAAAGAAGGTTCGTGTTTTATAGCTACATCCTTAAAAACACATCTTTTCAAATTTGTTTACATTTAATACTCTGATAGCAATTATAAAAATCACTTAGTCACTTAGTTTCCACACTTTTTATTTCTCTATTTATTTTACATCTCTCAGTTTTAATACATTACAGCATCTTGCAACATCTTTTTTGACCTTTTTTTTTTTTTTTCAATTTTCTATATCTCTTTGTTTTTGTTTTTTTTCTGTTTTATTTTTTGTTGATTGTGGAGATAATAAGTCATTGGATTGCTGTGCTGATATCACAACTCATGTAAATGTAAAGTAAAACCTCCCTATTAATTGTGTTCTTGGCTTCTTCATGTCATCTTCTGTCACCTTCCAGATGCTGAGGAAAAGACACAACGGCTCCATCCACCGAACGGAGAGTCAGCAAGCTGTGAAATCTCCCCCTCTGCTGGTGAGAAACAGGACAAGTTTCCTTTTGTTTTGGACTTAGTTTAGATCTCAGATGCAGGTTCAATTTATTCTTAGGCTTTGGTTTTTTTTTGTTTTTTTTTTTTGTTTTTTGGCTGCAGGACTCTCCCGACCCGAACCGTGAACAAATCGTCAAACTCTCAGTGAGTATATTTTGGTGTTTTTGGCTTTAATTTTGTTGTGATGTATAGTGCTTCCAAAAATAAATGAAAAATGCAGCAGCTGGAAAAGAACCTGAAACATATTCTAATAAATCAACGTCAGTCCGGTGTTAATTACAGTATTGATTATTCCATTTAGACCAAGCTGAGCTCAGTGTCCCTCCGAGGGATCAGCGCCTCCAACTCGGCAAACGACATAAGTGGCAATGATTTCCACGGTAACTATGCTTTCGAGGGAATCGGGGACGATGACCTGTAACCCCCCCCACCACCACCACCACCACCACCACCACCACCTTCAATTCTCCCTCCTCCCCTCTTCATTCCACTGTCAACAAATGGGATGACAAAGATTATGAGCTGAGCCGAGCCGTGCGGACCACACACTCGTCCCATTCTGCAAGATTGTAGCTTCTTCCTGGAGAAATCGCTGCCTTAAGCTCTTTGACAGTGTCCTTTCTTTCAGACTCTTAAAAGCTCATCTTGATTTGTGTTCGAGTTACAATCATCATATTCAATTGGAGTTTTGTCCCCACTTTATTAAACTTGTAGCAACATACAGTACATGGCATGTAGAGCTACAGGTACTCAAATAGGGAAGCTTCCTGTATGTTACTGACAAATTCCTACTTCTTTGATTCACACGCATTACTGGGTCATCGGCAGTATGTGTGAAGCTCTATAATTTAGTTACATTCTTGAGGTACAAAGGTAAATTAAAATATTGTAAACTACACGAAGAATACCTGATGGCTGCATGCTTCTTTCCAGCCAGAGCCAAATGTTTAGTTAGACCTGGCACTAGTGATAATACAGCAGTCCTGGATGTGGATAGTTTTCCAGAGTGACCCAGAGTCCAGCGAATGAGTTGAAATTGATCTCACAACTGTAGACTATTCAGAGCACCTGCTTGCTTATATGGATGATCAATGTTTGGCTTGGCTATATACCAAAATGTCATGTTTTTATACTGTTAGTGATCCTCTGTGTGCCATGCTATTCATGTGCCAAGTCAGTAAATATCTCAGCAAAGATATCAGTGGTGTTTTCAGCTTACGTTTGAGGCACAGTCACTCATACTGCCTTCAGAAATAGTCTGATGCCTTAACTTTTACTTTTTTTTTTCTTTTTTTTTTTTTCCCCCTCCTGGGCTACCTTGTCATTCATCGGGACATGGGTTCATACTTAAAGTAAACGTCAGTGTCCGCCGGTGTTACCTAGAATCTTGCAGAACTTGATAGATGGTTGATTTGGCCGCGCTGCTTGCACTTGCTGAACCGATCATTTTGCACAGTATTACAGGTGGAGATGAATGTTTGAGTGGAAGCTTGAGCATGACTTCAAACATCTTGTGGAGATTGTTTCCAAGGGGCTCTGTAAATCCATCTGTGATTTTTTTTTTTTTTTTTAACCAATTTTTTAAGGTTTCTCATAAATGCCAAATTATAGTTTACTAAAGCATTTTGCACAAAATAAACATAAAAAATTATGACAATGTCACTTTTTATATTATGTACATGCAATTAAGTATTCTGAACATTTACTAATATCTTTATCATCATAGCTTATTGTAATCAAATAGATCAAATGTAATCTAAGCTGTATAGAACAAAAAGTTTAAATGGACTAACATTTATCATTGTTTACATAATGTTTAGGTGACTTTTTAGTTGAAAGGTAATGTGTTTACAAATTTTGCATCTGATCTTCTTTGTCTTGTTCGTTTCGGGCGAGTGATGGTGGAGCATTCTTAGGGGCTTCAGTTCATTGTAATTTGTACGTACATTGTGCCAATCATCTCAGAGGATTTCGCTGAAAAAGGTGCTTTGGTGAAGTGGCTAATGTGATCACAATTGTGCTGGAGTGAGTTACATTCATGAAGGGCAGGCAACAAAATGAACATATCCATATCATGTTTTATAAGACATTTCATTCTTTTTTTTTTCTTTTTTTTCTTTTTTTTTTATTGCTGGTAGCTTCAGTTATTTTGAAAAGTTGCCTCTCGGCGTGTTCTGAAGCCTCTAAATGTAAATCAATGCCAACCTATCAACAGCTTTACTCTCACTGGTAGCCACAACTGTAAACAAAAATGTTCTCAATATAAATGTCTTGTTATTTCACTGCTGTGCTTCTTCTTTGTCTTCAGTTGTATTTTTCTAGTAGAGGGATGTGGACACCACCAGTCATCTTTATTTTCTCTATTCCTGTCAATACAAGTACATGGAAGCTGCAAGGTCCTGGATGTTAATAAATGTGTAGGTGCCAAATCACAGGTTAAGTGCATTAACGTCAGCAGTCACCATTAAACTAAATGTCAAATTTCACGAAGATTGCATTGACTTGATTCATTCCACGACTTTTCAATTTTGATTTTAGTGGTAAGGTCAGTGACAACTGTCTGGTCTGTTTGTCATGATGCTAAAATAAACTCTGAAATTAGATGACCTTGTGGCTCTCCGTTGTCAGTTAATGGTCTATTTGAGTCATTTCTTCATCACTGCTTTTGCATTACTCCCACGTTTATTTACAGCAGCAGCTTTGGTCCTCTGCCATATAATATGCCAAGAATATTACTCGGTGTAGAGCAGCCACGAGCTGCGGTATTTACAGGCTTTCTTTTTTCACACCAGGCATTTTGACATATTACACAAGGTAAAGCTCATGTAACTAATTTTAATGATGAACTCTAATTCACTACTTTTGTTTCACAGTCCTGCTATAGTGAATACAACAAGCTATCGTAATGTTGGAAGTAACACCTGTGCTTTTCCTACTGTCACGACTCAAAAATGTTGATGCTGAGAAAACTCTATTCAACACTTGAGAGAGTTTTCATCACAAGATGGTATTTGGAACTGAGAACCTTTTGGTTTTTTAAATTTAATTTTTATTTATGTTTTAGCAGCGCACCTAATATATGTCCAATGATGATGTGATGATGTATCAGCCTATATATAGTGCATTCAGAAAGTATTCAGACCACTTTTTTCCACATTTTATGATGTTGCATCCTTATGCTAAAATCAAAAAAATGTTTTTCCTCTCATCAATCTACACTCAAAACCCTATGATGACAAAGTGAAAAAAGAATTTTTTGAAAATTTAGCAAATTTATTAAAAATGAAAAACTGAAATATCACACTGAGTATTCAGACCCTTTGTTATGACAAATGTTGCTCAGGTGCCTCCCATTTCTCTAGATCATCAGATGTCTCTACACCTCTTGGAGTCCACCTGTGGTAAATTTAATTCATTGGACATGATAAAAAGAGAGAAAGGTTAAGAACCTGTCTATATAAGTTATCACAACTGACAATGCATATCAGAGCAAAAGCCAAGCCATGTGGAGGAAGGAACTGCCTGCAGACCTCAGAGACAGGATTGTGTCGAGGCACAGATCTGAGGAAAGCTACAAAAATTGAATACATTGAGTGTTCCCGAGAGCACAATGGCCACCATAATTCTTAAATGGAATCACTGCAGCACTCCACCGATCTGCAATTTATGGCAGGGTATCCAGACAGAAGCCTCTCAGTGAAAGACTCATGAAAGCCTCTTGTATTTGCTTAAAAAGCCCCTAAAGGACTCTCAGACTGTGAGAAATGAGATTCTCTGATCTGATGAAACCAAGACTGAACTGATTGGCCTCAATTCTAAGCGTCATGTCTGCAGGAAACCAGGCAGTGCTCATCACCTGCCCGATACCATCCCAATGGTGAAGCATTGTGGCAGCATCATGCTGTGGGGGTGTTTTTCGGGGACAAGGACAGGGAGACTGGTCAGGGTTGAGCTGAACGGAGCTAAGTGCAGAGATATCTGTAATGAAAACCTGGTCCTGAACGCTCTCCTTCCAAAAGGACAACAGGACAGAGCTTGAGAGAATCTGCAAAGAGAAGAATGACAGAAAATCCCCTAATCCTGATGTGCAAAGCTGTAATATGCCAAAGGTTCTACAACTAAGTACTGAGTAAAGGGTCTGAATACTTATGTCAATGTGATATTTTCGGCTTTAGGCCAGAGAACCAAAACGAACGAACTTAAAGGCTCTCCTTTTACGTAAGTAACAACATGATTCAAGTTACTGTGACAATACTTTAATTACAAGTACTCTATGTGCCAGTATGTGGAAATGTCACCAAGATTTAAAGACAAATGAGAAGCAGTCTGATGTCTGACATTCAATGAAATGAATCCCATGTGTTTATTTCAAATTCCTCACTTAAGGCATTTATGAGACACTGCATAAGGACAAAAATGGACACTTGGGGGATGTCAGTACTAATCAATGGGTTCAATGCTCCATTGTGTCATGGCAAGTTGGCAACCTGAAAAATATATCACTTGCATATAATAGTCATTCACAAAGAGAGTAAATTTTTAATCACTGTCCCTATAGTTTTTCCCATGATAACTAAATGACACACCACACATTCAAAATTAAAATAAAAAATTCTAATTCTATATATTAAAGTATGCACTTCTAGCAGTGTATTACGGCCACATTAGAAAAATAAAACAACTATTAGACACCCACATGCTTACTAACAGCATCATCTTTTTTTTGCTCAAGTAAAAAACACAAGAATGGGCTAATTTCACAGTCAATAGTAAACAGTAATCCAACGGAAGGTGATTCAACCAAGAGTCTCAACAAGACTCTTCCCATAAAGACACTTCCCAAAAGAAATTAATTTAAGACCAAAAAATTTAAAGATTACTGATATGTAGCAAGTTTGTGGGGGATATTCTTTAAACAACATGTACGATCTATGAATTGATGCTTTTTTTTTCTTTTTTTCTTTTTTTTGCTCTCAAACTTAACCGTAAACCTGCCAAAGTGTAGCTGAGTGTGTATGATTGTGCTTTTCCCTTTAACCATAAAACCCAAGTCAAAACTGAAATGCTTGTGCATGCAATTTTAGTGTTAGAATAACTAGGAATTCTTTTTTTGCCAACATTTAGTTTGAGCGTTCCACATCATTCTTTTTTCTTTTTTTCTTTTTTTATCCTGAGGGGTTTGGCAAAATGACAATACAGTTCAAGACACAGGAGATTATTTAGTAAGGTTAACACAACCTAATTAATCAATATAGAGTGGAAAACAATTCCAGTACTATTAAATAGCACATTGCTAGTAGTACATACATTAGTAAATTCATCAGAAGGCATGCCATTACCAGAGCTTGTGCCACAATGCAAAGAAAGCACAATACTGGCCCTCACAAGGACCCATCTTTAGCTGCACTGTGTAGTCTCAGGAAAATAATTTGTCAACAGATACATACATATTGTCAGTGTAATTTAATGTTAAAATGACCTTACATGAATCAAACCAAAGGTAAATCTCTATTTCCATCCTGTAAATGTGATATGAGGTTGGAAAGAAAAGCTGATTATAAGTTACATTCATTTTATTTCATTTGATTTTAGGTACAAAACAAAAGGTCTGACCTAAAAATGTGGCACTGGCAACTTTAATAAAAACAGAAATGATCTTTTATTACAGAAACTACACAGTGCAACTCAACAGTTCAGGCAAAAATGTGCATGAGTTCCATGTATTGAGGAGTATTTGGTGGTGATATGTGTTGAAGTGTGAGAGGGAAATGTCATCATTAGTGTGGAGTAACATACAGAATGAGACAGTGAAAGGACTTCCATTTGTCTTTACACAAACACAGAGTAACAGAGTAGAAGACAAACATGAACAGACTCATCCACCTTACTGAACCCAAAAGGCATCAAAATATTCGGAACAATAATTGTGCGAGATTCTACAAATAAACAATTAGCAGCCTCTGAAGACATCTGACAAAACACTAACAGACCGACACACACTAAAACTATATAAAGGCTCTGTGAAAATAATAATTAAAAAAAAAAAAAAAAATAAGTTGCTGGTAGCTTAGTTCTGCTGAGTTATATTTTATACAATCTCAAGTTTATAGCACGAGTGTATTGTCTGACCTCCCTCCCGAGACATATACTGCATATCAACACCTGCTTCTTTCCTGTGAGTTTGGACTCCAACTCCCATCCCTTTCCGCACTTCGTCGTCTTCATCATTGCCTGACATTGGAACCTTGACCCAGCCGTCTGTGGCCAGTCCGTGTTTCTTCTGGTGTCTCTTGTAATTGTCCCAGTGGCCAGTGGTGTAGCCGCACTCCTGACATTTGTACGGCTTTTCTCCGGTGTGCCGAAGCATGTGCCGCTTCAGGTTCATGCTCTGGTTGCAGCTGTAGCTGCACACGGCACACTGGAAAGGTTTGGCGCCCGAGTGCACCCGCTGGTGTCGCTTCAGGTTGGCCAGGTTCCCGCAGGCGTAATCGCACAAATGGCACTTGTAAGGTTTTTCACCTGTGTGCACTCTGTGGTGGCGCTTGAGGTTGTCGAAGTGCGCTGAGGCATAGTCGCACTGTGGGCACTTGTATGGTTTCTCACCACTGTGAGTTTTCATGTGGCGTGCCAAGTGGTTTGGGTAGTGTGTGAGGAAGGGGCAGGCGGCGCAGGTGTACACCTTGTCACTGCGCTCGCCAGGGCTGTTGGGATTAGATGAGGTGTCTTTAGTCAGCATTTCAAGGGTACACTTGGCACAAATTTGGGCTGAAGAGCCGTCCTCGTCCTCCAGGACAATGCCACATAACCGGCATGTAAAAGGGAAAAGTGAAGGGGGGAGGGCGGCACCGTCTGCTACGCCCCCTCTAGTCGCCCTGCTGCCCCCACTGCCTGTGGTTTGCAGAAGAGGTGGAGGCTGGTGGCCAGGAGCTGGGTTAGAGGGTGGTATGGGAGGTGGCGAAGCCCCTTTTAAGTCATCAAAGACTGATAGGGAGTCATTGTTCTGGGCTCCCAAACTCAGGTTTGACGGTGGCCTTGCAACTTCTGAAACTTAAGAAAGAAAGACGATATATTGAGTTATTGTATATATTAATGATTGATAGTGACAGCTTAAAATAAATCTGGAGTTGTGGAGAAAAAATAAATCATTAAAGAAAGCATACATACCCTTGGTTGAACCACCAGGCTCTTCCCCATTGGGTCTTTGCCCAGTCACATGCCTCTTCAGGCTGTTCTGGCCACTGGCAGGTCGCGGCGTGGCGTCCTGTCCTGCCACTGCAGAGGGCACATGCATGCGCTGGTGCCTCTTGAGGTTGCCAAGGGAACTGCATGCAAAAGTGCAGCTGTCACATTTGTATGGTTTTTCCCCTGTGTGGATGCGCAGGTGTCTCTGCAGGTTCACCAGCTGGGCGGAGGCGTAAGTGCACAAGGGGCAGTTAAAGGGCTTCTCCCCGTTGTGTGTCTTCATGTGCCGCTTCACATGGTTGGCGTAACGCGAGGAGAAGCCACAGAGGTGACACGAGTGCAGTTTGGCCGATTTGTCCTCAGCTGTCAGTGCCTTGTCGCCCATCCCGTTACCCACCCCTTCACCATCAAGCTGCGAATG